ATTTTTTATAATCATCTCGTTTTTTGTAACATCAACTATAAAATAAAATTAAAAAATTAATAAAATATAGCACGCGATAATGAAAATGAATTAGAAAATTTCGACATTAAACAAGGTTTCTTTTTAATTTTAGCAACCACTTACTTTCGGAGCCGTATAGAGAAATTTTTAAAAAATACAACGTGTACAATACTACCACTCATCGATTATTGTTGCGAATATACATAGCATACATTGAACAAAGATACGGATGAATATTCTTTCACATGAAGGGTGTTCTTAAAAGAGTAACGATAAGCTGCGGTGCTTTACTGTGCTTTGATTTAAAATATAAATTGTGCAAATTAATTGATTCAGAAAATTATGAATATTGAATGCTATAAAAACACCACAAGACAAATTTTTTAAAAATGTTTTCTTCTACCTGATAAAACTGAATATAATACAAAAATATTGTCAGCCAGTATTCTAATAAAAATTATTAATTGTTTTTCTTATACTGTTCCTATCCAACGACGACAAAGAGGAGCTGCAACTGGTGGCGGAGACGGAGGTCGCCGAGGCTGCCGATTACACGACAAGACTGAAATCGCATCGCCAGGGTAACAAGCACGACGATCTTCTTACACCCGAGGCCCTGCTCTATTATTACTATTAGGCTTATCNTTTTAATGTATTTCAAAATTCAATAAATTGGTGTACGTGCATGAAATTCGGCCCTTTTGTCACCTGAACTGGTTATGATTGTTTTTTAAATTCCACTTTCGTGAACAAGCATTAAAAAGAAAAGAAACCGAGTACTTGAGTGCGAGAATAAATTGCCGTTTTTAATGGTCTGCTTGCGGCATTACGGAGAATATAAGTAAAAAAGAGAGCTCGTTCATTCTCGTGTTTGCGTGTTATAACAATATAATGCATGTACATGTACGCGTCGACTGCGCTCATATTTAAGGAGAGTAACCATAGACACATAATGTGATAGAAGGCACCATGTGCAGATTTCAGTATTATTTTGCAAATTTAACGGGATAATACAAGAGATGAATATTGAATGTCTGCGTGAATATAAGAGATAAATATAAGGACACATTCGCTCACTCTATCTAACTGTCCCTTTGTAAGATCTTGTTATTACAAAATACGTAATACGATTTCCATTTGACTAGAATAAAAAAAAAAAATTTAATTTCTTCGCACGAAACTGACAAAGTTTTTACGATTTTTTAGCTTTTAAGGTTTTTATGATAGTTATGATAATAATAGTACTAAAGTGTTATTTCGAAAAGTACGTTAGACAGTTTATTTGCTTCTTACCGTTTGACTTTCCGATTAGATAAATTTGAAATAAATACCAATATATTATTTTGCAGATACTTATTCGATAATTGTTCTATTTAACGTTAGGAAAAAAAGTTTTTGTACATAGTAATATTTGATTTATTATTAGTTTCAAGTAAAAAAGATTAAAGCTGGCTTTAACTTGTTTTTTAGTTCTCAGTGGTAAAATTTAATATACTTCCCAAATTTATGCTTAGTTAATATTTTTATGAAAAATTGTACATAAATAATGGTTTAGAACGTTACAGAAAGTGAACCATTAATTTGCTTTTCGAGAGCTTCATTAAACAATTGCATTTGGCAATTACATTACATTGATTGAATTTCTAAAATAATAATTATTTTTAAATGCTTTTTTTTCTTAGACATAAAATTCTTTAAATAATCACTCAAGTACTTATCTTATTTAAATTTTAATGCATGACTCTAACCATTTTTAAGGACTTAATTAATTAATTTTTTTTAGAGGATTAGCGGATTCGTTGATTTCATTTTGACATAAGAAAACTTAAAAACAAAGAATCTCAAATTATATAATTTAACAGTTACATTAATGAACAAGTTTGTCAAAACTGTGATTTTTTTAATTAAAAAAAAATGTATATTTTCAACTAATTGACTTGAAGTGCATTGCCTATAACTTTGTATAATAATTTATTTTTTTGCAGCATAAAAAAACTAACCAAGACGTAACGAAAGAATCGAGCTAATGTGTCCTGTTGCAACTGCGAATTATAAATGCGCGCAGTGTGATTTACATAATAAATAATAAGAATAATATGTGTATCAATGGACGTGCGTAATTTAAAAAATAACGGACGTGTCATTAGCGAGAGAAAAAGAAAGATTTAACGAAAATAAATTAAACGCGCGCGCGATTGGTTACTTTATTATTGAACGACGATGATTATTATAAAATATAAATATTATATATACAAATACATATATGTAGAAATGTTAGTTCAATTTCGAAGAGAAAGGGCGAGCAGAAATAATAATTATAATAATAATTACGGTAAGGACAAAACGAAACAGATTAAATAGAATGAACACGAGTGCGATCAGCGCGACGCGGGGGGTTATGGCCGTTGCGATACAAAAATAGTGAATAAAATAATTTTAATGGTATGAATACAAATATTTGTTGTTGAAACTTTTTTTTTTAATAAAAGAAAGATAATTAATGAACGTAGACGAGAAATTGATTCGTCGATAATAATGCACGATGCAGATATAACGAAAATTGTAATAAACGGTGTAAAAAAAAAGAAAAGAAAAAAAAAAACAAGAAATTTCCAAATTAAAAAAGGGGTTGTTAAAACAACAAAAAGGTACACGCGATCTCGAGGCATAACTTTCGGAAAAGGTTGTATTCAAGAGTCTATAATCATGGAGTCGATATCTTTCTAGAGTAAATTTCGATAAGTCGTGAACGTAAAAAAAACCAAGAACACCGATAGTCG